TTTCCTGCTCCTCTGATGCTGCTTGGCCTGCTGTGTTCATCCAGCTCTACACCTTGTTATCTCAGATTCTCCAGCATCGGCAGTTCCTACTATCTCTGTATCAAAATTTGAAGTGAAGCTTTTACAAACATTGAATTAGAAATAAAGTAGAATGGATCAGGTGACATTTTGCATTAGCAATTTTATGTAGAAAATATTTGCACCATTGCAATTTGTCAAAGTCAGGTCTGGAGAAAAGATGCAATACCTTTCAGAACTGAGATGGGAGAATTGTGCATGTTAATTGGACAACCGAATTGCTGGGTACTCAAAATAAAGTGAGATGCCAACTTTGAGGTCCTGATCGTGACTATGAAAAATCCCAAGTTAGAAGGTGTTATTTTAAGTGAATAAAATTTCGAATAAAATAGAATGTGGTATTTTGGAATTTCCATCATTTGGAAGTGCCGGAAACATGAAACTTATTGTGTTTAGTGATGCTTTGTATGCACACTTCTGTGAGTTCTCAAATGCAAAAGGTTTAAAATTTGCTACAATCTGACATCCCTACCTGCTTCAAGAAGTCCATCATCACCTGGTGCCAAAGAAAACTTTGTGCAGGGTGCCTCAATGACTACCGGTGGCTCTGACCTCCGTAATTATTAGGTATGCGAGAGGTTAGTTATGGCTTACATCAATTCTAGCCTCCTAGCCTGCCTTGATCCCTTGCAATTCACCTACCATTGCAACAGGTCCATGGCAGACATCATCTCCCTGGCCCTGCACTCATCCCTGGGACATCTAAATAACAAGGATACATATACCAGATTCCTACTTATTGACTAAAGCTGTGCCTTCAACACCATTATTCCAATTAAACTAATCTCCAAACTCTGAAGCCTAGGTCTCTGCTTCACCCTCTGCAACGGGATCCTTGACTTCCTAACCCACAGACTGCAATCAGTGAGAATAGGCAACAACACCTCCTCCATGCTAAGCTTTAACACCAGTGCCCCATAGGGCTACATACTCAGCCCCTGACTATACTCCCTATACACTGATGAATGTGTGGCCAAATTCTGTCCTAACTCCATCTACAAGTTCGCTCGTAACACCACTGTTGTAGGCCAGATGTAAAACAACGACGAGACAGAATACAGGAAGGAGAAAGTGCTTGGTGGCATGGCGTAAAGATAACAATTTCTCCCTCAATATCAGCAAAACAAAAGAGCTGGTCATTGACTTCAGGAAACAAGGTGGAGGGCACAACCTTGTCTCCATCAATGGTGTTGAGGTGGAGATGGTCAACAGCATCACATTCCTAGGATTGATGAGCACCAACAATCTGTCCTGGTCCACCCACGTTGACGCTACAGTAAAGAAAGCACAACAACACCTCTACTTCCTCAGGAGGCTCAGGAAATTCCATAGATGCACAATAGAAAGCATTCTGTCTGGATGCATCAGGGCTTGATATGGCAAGTAAGAAACTACAGAGTTGTGAATGCAGCCCAGTCCATTACGCCAGCCAACCTTCCATCCACCGTCTCCATCGATAATTGTCACTGCCTTGGGAAGACAGCCAACATACTCAAAGACCCTTCCCACCCCAGTTATAATGTCTTTCGATCACTTGAGTTGGGCAGAAGGTACAAAAGCTTAAACACATGTACCAACAGATTCAAGGACAGCTTCTTCCCCACTGTTATTAGACGTCTGAATGGACCTAGCAAATTTTAAATTTAATGTTGATCTGGCTCTTTGTGGAACTACTGTGGAGCCGTAAAATTGTATTCTTAGCTCTGTTCTGTTACCCTAATGCACTTTGTATGGTATGATCTGTCTGTAGTGCACGCAAAATAAAAAACTTTTCACTGTACCTAGGTACATGTGACAATAATAAATTAAATCAAGTTTCTCTTTTGGACAAGGGAGGTAAATGATCACAGTAATCAAAGTACCTTGGCAGCAGAAACTCATGCTCTTGTTGGGCAGTGGATATGGTGTTTTTATTCACGAAAGTATTGGAAAAAAATTGTAGAGGATTCAGCAATAATACTCATTGAGTCCTACATCATGGATAAGTCACTGTGGGATAATCTACATTCAGCAAAATGTGTGAATGAGCAAAGATCTAAGTATTAATATTGCAATTTCAAATCAGATGTGGAGGAAGGACAAATCTCAAAATTGTAATTGGTGGATAGCAGCAGTCTGATTGCTTTACATAGAAAGGTGCAAGCGAAAAGAAACACCACAAAAAAAAATCTGTACAAGGGATATTTGGATCTGTAATGTTAAAAAATGAAAGCCTGAATATAATGCATAGTTAGTCGGCACAACCTACTGTCATTTAGTAATTTTTGTTTATTTTCATTATCATTATACTTGTTACTGTTAAAGAAAAAAAGTGAAATCTGTTATCATCTAGTAAGATCTGGCAAGGATGCCCGAGATCAAATGAATTAGGGAGCAGATGATGGGGAAAATTGGACATGTACTTAACAGTACTTGTTTCCTATTTGTAAGTAATCAGTGGTGTTGGAGTTTGGGCTGTGTGAGCTGAAATAAAACTCTGACTAGAAAAGTATATCACTGGACGCTGTCTGAGTGACATTTTAACCTCTGGTGTTAAACAAGAATGACTGCTGAATCAAACTAACACTAAGAATGTTGTTGTGCCTAGCACTGGATCTAATTCCATATGTCCTAATTAGGTAATTACATAAATTAGGTTTTCAATAACATTTTACGATCAGTATATATAGGTTTATTTTAATATATCTATTTCATCAAACTTCCCTAAATAAAGTGTACAAATATTTGTTTTGTAGCTTTAATTAGGCTTGTCATTGACCAACAGCAGAATCTTCAATATGTAACAATTTTATTTCACTGCACACATAATACTGAAATTTCAGAATACCACGCTTTGTATCTGATTTCATATCACATGCTTTCCTGTGTACCATGAAAGTGTGCTCAAAAATTTGAGTTCATGTGTATTTTCAGAATTATTGTCACTGATTTAAATGAAAGAATGTTCTAATATGTACTGGTATTCCGCAAATGGGCCAAATATTGATGCCTTCTTAATGCTTACGTTCAATTCATGCAGGATAAATGGTGTGATCTGAAATCAAAGTGAAGTGTTCTTAATTCTCAGTTTTTTTTTGCCGTGAAAACAATTGCTTGGATTTTGAAGGCTGTCCTGTAGACTCTCATAAAGCCTGCTAAAGCTGTAGAACAGCAGTATGAATGTGTACAATACCCCTTTATCAAGCTTTGCATATAAAGACTGGACCTGTTTTGGGCCTCTCTACTATCATACTGAACCTACAGGGATTCTGTGGCATGATGACATTTTTCAATGTCAGTGATCCCTTGATCAGATACTCAACTTGAAGTTTGAAACATAAATTCACCAAGTAGGAATAAAGTGTAGCTAACTGTCATATTAAGCAGTCTGTGGATCAATAGAAATGAAATGAAACAGCTTACTGTTCATGATTCCACTCTATAACTTTATTTAAGAATTTGATCAAGGGATCATTCAAAATTCAATGGAACAAAGACAGGAAAAATTTGCCCTTTCGATCAAAGGGTTCTAAAATATCAGAATCTTGCATGAAAACACTTCAAAATGCAGAAACAAAACAATGGTTATGTCTCCTATGAGCTTAATTCCACTTGCACACGTGACAGGTGGCCATAGTGTTATGTGCAAGTTTTGTTATTTGCAAAGTAAGTAAATATTTTGTTTTTGGAATTGATAACATTATTGTTAAATCCGATTTGAGGGAAGTACTGAATACCTAGGATTGCAACAACTTATAGAAAGACATTAACAGATTCTCAGAATGAGCTTTTTTTTTACTCTGCAGTATTTAAAAAAACCTCAAGGCTATGGAAAGCCAGTTTATTTCCCTTATCAGTTTCAGTAAGCTGTAGCTTTGTAACCAGTAAGTCAGAGACTTTATACATGTAAACTAGTCGGCCTGTGCCTCCTGCAAGCAAGCATAAGTGCCTGGAGCAGTAAGATTGAAGAGCAGCAGGTCGTAATGAGGCAAAAAGTTCATCTCAACAAACCCTGTTGACCAGGACAATTGAACAGCATTTCCGGTCTTCCCCTCCGCCCATAACACTCAGATTTCTTTTATTTGTGTGTGTGTGTGTGTGTGTGTGTGTGTGTGTGTGTGTGTGTGTGT